AGCATTAAGGGTATCATGCTGGTTGCAGTGATCAAAGATTGATAACTGTATCCACAGGAGGCTCTTTCTGTTATGGAAACCACAGACGAGCAAACAGTTCAGAGGGGAAGGTGTTTTGAAATTAGGCTCTGGAGCATCCAATGATGAAGGATTTGTGATTGCACTCCTAGTTTCAGACCTTAAAAGGAGCATGCTTGCCTGACAACTTCCTTAGCCTTTTTTCCTCTGCTCTTATGTCTGATAAAAGCTATCGCCACTCCCCATAAGCCTTGCTTTGTTACATCTACATCTCTACTACAGCAATACTAATGTTAATTGTAATAGGGCAGGAGACCTTTGTTTTGCTTGCCGAGAGAGAAAAATATTTTTTGAAACATCCAGAGAAAATGCTATGTATTTCTCTTTATACTGAGTAGCATTTTTCTTCCTCATATTCTAGGAAAATGAAACAGAAGTACTAGAGTTACTGACAGACTGATCCTGTACCAAAGGAAGGCAATGGCAGTTTCCATAATCCATGATTATACCCTGGAAGCCAAGATTCTGCCTGTTTTGCTTATGCTGAATATTAGAATACATCCTACTGATGTCAGCGCAGTTCTCATGGCATACCTTGATGTGAGCAAGACTGACAAAGGTGGCCAACATAAACAGGCCACTCATTCCACTCTTTTTGGTCAATTATCTTTCAGGATGTTCTATAAAATGTTTGGTTTTGGTCCATGGTATTAAAAAAGGATTCAATATGGGAGGTGCTTTCCCCTCCATGGGATTGGCTGAATAGAGCAACCTCATCCTAATATCTTGGCTCCAGCAAGGGATGCTGCAGATGCATATGCCAATCTTTAAAGGGAACGAATAACTTCTGTCCCTGTGCTTACTGGAGTCCTTATGCAACTCTTCTGTCCCAGCACTCCAGTGGGAGAAGCCAGCTGGAGTCCATGTCCACATATATGAGAACATTCACTTGGCTATTTCTTTCTTTGAGAATTAGTGGCATTTGATTTGCTTGGTAATAACATTGCTTCACTAGATAACACTAACATAGAAAAATGAGGGGAATTATTGCTTCAAATTCTACCTACATCCAAGTTTTCATTTTTCTCCTTTCGAAGAGAAAAAGACCATTTCTGGCACAGGCTCTTCACAACCAGCCTTATTGTCATGCCCATGTTTTTTAAGACCTAACATTCCTGGACAAGCAGAAAGAGATTTAGCCATCTTTAAAACTACTAATTGATCTGCAAAGATGTATGAACCACCATGATGTCATATCACCATATTACAGAAAATGTTATTAACCCTAAGGGAGCCCTAAGGCACCTACTGGTATGAGTTTGGCACGTTAAGGCAAGCCAGTGTTTGGGACACAGCTGTGCTCTCTGCTTGCTCGGCTCAGCTCTTCAGCCATTCCTGAGCACTTTCACATGGGAGGTCATGCTAACCCCCCTCCTGAGATCTGAGGTTACAGCACAAAGTGAATTTTCCCTTTACATAAATAATTTATGTCTCAATAATTTAATGGTACCAAACACTAGGTATGGAAAGCAATTCAAAAGCTGGAAGACATGAAGCAAGTTAATAACATTAATCATATCAAATCCAGGTGATCAAACCCACTAATCCAGCCATAAGGTATAAAAGGCTATAAAACCCATTGAAAACCTGAGGAAAAGGAGTTGAATATTCTGTTTTAAAGACTTGCAATGGCAATACTGAGTAGCTATAGCAATTTATAGTTAGAATCACACTAATTTTACAGAGTCTCCAAGTACTTTATCCAAATATTATATTTATATAATTGTCATATGGCCATAGTTTCACACCTATTCTGGTAATTCAGTAACCTGAATGTAAAGCCTTACCAGAGTGTTTGGAAGCCATAAGGGGAGTCATGCTTAAAGTCCATAATGTGACATGAGACCTGGGGTTTATTTGTAGCCTTGGTGACTTAGCCCTCCCACTCTGCCAATAGGGTAAGCATTCATAACATTCTCATTGCTGTGGTTTTACTTCTTTGATGAGATTGTTTACTTAAAATATTAGTAATGCCTTAAAAAAAATCCTTCTGTGTTGTCTTTTCTTTTTTTACAGCAAATCTGTCTTCTCTTGCAGTAATTTTCTTTCCTAGCTCATCATTACATTTTGCACAAATAGATTAGGGGTGAAAAACTTTATTAATGATGTTGTCATGACACTTACTTGGTCCAAGTAAGAGACTCGAAGCAACTTACAGTAGATTTCCCAATGCTAGGGAAATATATATTATTTCCATTTATTACAGAACATTGGCAAATAAATATTTTCAACTTTTTTTTAATGTAAACCACCATACCTAGGTTGGGGCAGATGACAGGGGGCAGCTGGGGACAGCCCCTGCCTTGGGTTTGGGGGACCTCCCTGGGGATGGGGGCAGGCCAGACTGAGACATCCATCTGCGAGTGGAGGTGGCTTGGTGGGACCCCTGGCCAGTCACACAGCTGTGGGGTGGTGAGGAGCTGCAGCTCGGGCAGGGCTAAGGTGAGAGCCTCAGCTGGAAGCAGCTCCCCCCATCAGGGTCTGGCCCCACAGCGCCTGGGAGCCTCTCCCCATGGTCACCATGGGGAAGGGGCCACCCTTGACTTCACCAGCTCCAAGCTGGCCTCCAGCCCCAGCAGCCAAACCTCCATTAGCCCCTGGGGATGCTCTCATAACTCTTACAACAGAGCTCACCATCACACTTTCCCAAACAACTACTTCACAAAGGCTGCATTGTTATTTTTTTTATGGCTAGAGCAAAACAGATAGAGAAATGACCATCATAGGCACCCACCAGTTTGGGCTGAGCACAGTTTTCCAGGCACTCTTGGCTCGGTGGCCATGCTACTGCTAGTAAATGAATCATGCCTGCAGCACTTCGCTGCATCTATTGCTTTAGAGAAACTTGAGGTTTTCTTATTACATTTCTTGGCCCTATTTTTTCTCTTTACAGTAGCACACTATGGTTTTTATGAAAACGGAAATTCAAACACGACTCAAACCTAAAAATGCAAGGGATTTCCTAGGAACAGCAAAATGGTGGGACACATGGCAACGTGGTACTACTTGGCAGAAGGAATCCTGTCATGTACAAATAGGCCTTTTAAAATGCCTGGAAAAAAGCTGTTTTAGCCCAGGGCCCCCGGTGGACAAAATGCCCGTGGTTTTGTGAGCAGCCTAATTTTATTATAACCTTTGGTAATATTAGTGCTATAGTAATAATGAATTTCCTGTTAATATCAGACTGAATTGGATTAGGTAGCAGCCTTTAGCTGTGTTGGTATCACGGGTGTCACTCGGACAAGAGCCTCATGGCTGCAGGCATCATGCAAACACAGCAAGAGGTTTCACCTGCCCCCTAGGAGCACGTGCTCCAAGGACACTCCACAGCAAAACTGAGAGCATTCTCAAACAGGACCCAAGCAATTTCTTTCCCTACATTTCATTTGTTTGCTTCACCAGCTGCCTCTTTTGCTTCTCAAAGATAACAGCACATTTGAAGTGCTCCAGTGTAAGGTGTAAGAGCCACATGCCTGGATCACTCAAACTTGGAAATGCACCTCGCTGCTTAGTAAATATTTATTTATTTTGTATTACTGATGAAGCAGATCATGGAGAGAGCTAGAAAACTCCAGCTTGGAAATATAATGAGGATAAGCATAGAGAAACTCCCATTACATAGCAAGATAACAGCAGATAAAAATTATGAATCCTTAAAATACTTTCTTTGTCCCCACTTACTCCTTGCAGGGGGCTGCTGTTCCTGGTAGCTAAAAAACATACATCATTCCCATGCCACAGTGCTGCAGGTGGTTGTTGGGTGAAAATGAAGTTTTCAGACCATTATCTTGCTATCCCACAGGCTACAAATAATCTGTGCACAAGAGCTGCTCGTTAAGTAGTAATTCATGTGGTTTCAAGGAGTGTCTATGATAGAAGTCCTCCTCCCTTTATCCAACTCAGACTTCTGAATTCTTAAGAAGATTTAGGAGGAGATTTTAAGGGCTGCTGTGTGTGAAACTGCTTCTGGTATTGTTTGACTTACACAACCAGTTGCCTTCAGTGCAGGCAGGAGATGGAGAGATGGAGAATTAATCAGCAGAGCCTCTATTCTTTTCTGTGGCACCTGCAGGGACCATCAAAATACATTGGTATGTCATACCAAGATTCAGTAAATGACAGCATCTAACAGATGCTTTATTCTCTGACAACCTTAGCTGAGGCAGGACAGAAGAAAATCATATTTGTATTTGAACAGCAGATCAGAAAGTAGGAAGCTCAAAGAATCCCACCCACCTCGTGTGTCTGGTAACCCCAAATGAAGAAAAAAGTGCCTCTTCAGAGCACATTTTGCAGGACATTAGCACATACCTTAGTGTTGTCTTATTAAAAAAAATAAATCAAAAAACCCCCACAACAATCATCAAGAAGTGAAGTTGTGAGCAGCATCTGGCCCACAATAACACATTATGGAAATGCAACATGAATGAGAAGTCTTCAATACAATAGAGACTGATACTTAGGTGCTCTAAAATAGTCAGGGGCATGTGCATACCATATATCCTACCGGAACTCTGTTAACTCGAACTTCCAACTCAAAGATGTATATGCTTGATGACTGTCAGTCTGACTTCGTCTTTTAAAATCAGGCTGAGAAATACAAGTGCATTTGAGGACCGAAATCCCATCCTTCAGAACAAAGAGATGTCTGGTAAAATCTAAGGTGCTGTCAGAAATAATTAGATGGCAGTAGTAGAGCCAGATAAGCTCTGTGGCTGACTTTGGAAAATGGAAGAAAGGTTAGCATCTGACTGACTTCAAAAAGAAACTACTTCAGCCGTTCATATTATATGAAATGTACCTGCAATATTAGTTTCATATAGTTCCCTTTACGGAAAACAATATTTTCAGGACTGATTATACATTTGGGAATACATATGAGAAAAATAAGTCCACTATTATGCAAAAACCAAACTCCCAAACTTTATTTATCACAATACATTTCAAGTCCACGCAGAATGTATTTACATTTCTCTTTAAGGCAAACAGAAATTGGGTCCTTATTCCTGAGTTGCTTAACACCAGTAGAAATAGCAAATAAAAATTTAGGAAATGTTGTCTCTCCCTTTGGAGTAGTAGCTGCTTCCCATGCAAAATATTTCTGCTTTCACCTCTGAATTCTTTTACTGAGCTATTTATACTGATAATCTCTATTGCCATTTGGAGACATTTCTGCAGATTTCAATCTCTTCACAGAAACTTCTTGTCAAGATGTGATGAACTTTCCACATTTGTTATTTTACTTTCCAGACTGTTTGCTGACTAGACAGCACAGCAGTACTTCCTCTTTGCTGACATATGGAACAAGGTGTTCTCTTCAGTTATTTAAGAGTTCTGTATTTCTCCAGTATCTAGAAAAACTAACATTTCCTTCTTATGTCTTTCTCATGCATGCCAGCTGCCTCTGCAATGCTAAGTTAAGAGAGAGAAAAGTTCATCTCAGCCAATAGAGGATTTTAGAGCTTGACTTTACTAAAGTGAAGGTGGGGGAAGTGAAAATGCCCACTGAAATGCTGGCATTTAGGAAGAAAGAGCAAAGCAGTTTCTCAATTAAAAAATACTCCCTCCAAGTCTGACTAACATTTGAGCCATCCACATCATCTCCAGACTTAAGATATTTGCTAGAATTTAGGACACTGAATTCCATTTAAAATATAGGGGCAGCATCTTCAAATAAGTTCTGACATTTTCCAATTCCCATTGACAGGCTCTATCAAGCCCACTAATTTCAATAGGTATTTTTCCCCCATGACTTTTAAGAGGACCACAGAACACAGACCTAAGAAAGCACATCTACTCTATAAAAAATAAGGTTCCTATTTAAAACAGAAGTGTAGACTGAGAAGAAAGTCCATAGGGCAAAATGGGGTATGACTCTTAAGTGTGCCCTCCTCCACGATCTGTGTGGAAAAATGTTTTGATTTTATTTACATTCTATGGTTGTTTTTTTTCATGCATTCCTGAAACTGTAGTTTCTAATGACTTGTCAAGTTCATGAATTCAAGGTTTCTGTTACTATTTAGTCTCTCTAGGTGTCCATCTCAGCTAATCAATGCTCATCACACTTTTTAAACAAATGCTAGTATTTACAGGTGTTTAACTTAAACATTCATTGAAAGAAACAGAATAACTGTGCCTTGATTAAACTTAGGGTTTATATTGGATATTAAAGCAAAAAACTCCAGGTAACTTCTTACTTCTCTTCCAGTTACTACCTGCTAAGATCAAATATCTTCCTCCACATATGTTTCACTTAGTAGTAACACACCCCAGCATACTACACTGGGAATAACCCACATCCAAACAGTCAATTGTAAAGACATTTCCTTTAAGAAAGACAAGCAGTTTCTCCTAGAAATTCTTCACAAAGGTTTACCACTTGCTTTTTCCTACCTCTCACAGACCTTTACAAACTAAGCACCTAGGAAAATACAGTAAGAGAACAGTAAAGAGAAATTCACGAAGGGTGTAACTGATCTATACCATCAGAAAGCTGACTCCTTCTGGTAAGGCACCTCACAATAGAAGGTCTGAAGGTTTTTCCAAGTAAGATGAGTTCAAAATGCTAAAAAAAGGAATAATTGTTACTGTGCACCTGGTAACAGCTCTGTACACTGTGACCAAAATGATTTGGCACAGGTATTCCCTATAAGCATGTGCAGAGCAGCATTTTGGTCCTCATTTCATTTTCTGTAATGTGACCTGTATGCAGCTTTCTTTCTAAAATCAGCATTGCTGATTCTATAACCAGTACATACTCTGAGAATATTTACTTTCCCAATGATCATCTCAATACTAAGATGCTAGAGAGCTTACAAAATTTTAGAAAGTCTGAAGAATTTCTCCCCAGAAATCCTTAATCCCTAGTCTACTATACAACGAGACTGCACTGTATTTGGAGAAAAATATATGTGTTGACAGTGAGTGTATATGCAGGGACTGTTTACTTAGTGTTTGTGAAATCTTGTCCTGCTACACTGATTACTTTAAAAAAAATCTAGGACAATTGAATCACAGAATCAACTAGGTTGAAAAAGACCTTTGAGATCGAGTCCAACCTATGACCCAATGCCATCTGGTCAACTAGACCACGGCACTAAGTGCCACATCCAGTCTTCTTAAAATACCTCCGGGGATGGTGAATTCACAACCTCCCTGGCAGCCCATTCTAATGTCTGATCACTCTCTCTGTAAAGAATTTCTTCCTAATGTCTAATCTAAAACTCCCCTGGCAGAGCTTAAGACAGGGGAGTGCCCTCTCATACTACTGCTGGTTGCCCAGGAGAAGAGATCGACCCTCACCTTGCTCCAAGCTCCTTTCAGGTAGTTGTAGAGAGTAATGAGGTCTTCCCTGAATCTCTTCTTCTCTAGGCTAAACAGCCCTAGCTCCCTCAGCCTCTCCTCACAGGACTTGTGCTCCAGTACCTTCACCAGCCTTGCTACCTTTCTTTGGACCTGCTCCAGCACCTCAATATCCTTCCTTAACTGAGGGGCCCAGAACTGGACACAGCACTCCAGGTGTGGCCTCACCAGTGCTGAGTACAGGGGAAGAATCACTTCCCTGATCCTGCTGCCACACTGTTCCTGATCCAGGCCAGGATGCCATTGGCCTTCTTGGCCACCTGGGCACACTGCTGGCTCATGTTCAGCTTCCTGTCAATCCAAACTCCCAGGTCCTTTTCTGCCTGGCTGCTCTCCAGCCACTCTGTGCCCAGCCTGTAGCGCTGCAGGGGGTTGTTGTGGCCAAAGTGCAGGACCCAGTACTCGGTCTTGTCAAACATCATACCATTGGATTCAGCCCCTTTATCCAGCCTGTCCAGATCCCTCTGAAGGGCCCTCCTATCCTCCAGCAAATTGACACTCCCCACCATCTTGGTGTTGTTTGCAAATCCCCTCACTCAATCACCTCATCCAGTTCATCAATAAAGATATTAAATAGAACTGGGCCCAGTACTGATCCCTGGGGGACACCACTGGTGACCGGCCGCCAGCTGAATTCAGCCCCGTTCACCACCACTCTCTGGGCCCGACTCTTCAGACAGTTCTTAATCCAGCACAGAGTGCCCTGTCCAAGCCATGGGCTGCCAGCTTTTCCAGGAGTATTCTGTGGGAGACGGTGTCAAAGGCTTTGCTGAAGTCCAGATAGACCACACCCACATTGAGACTTCCCTGCTTTTTTGCTTCTTGCCCAGATCTGTCAGAACTGTCTGGAGCTCAGGTTCTCTTCCACTCACATAGGACAGGGGAAACAGACATTTATTTGAGCTGTGTTGCTGCTACCCACTGCAGTAGCTGAGGTAGCAGAAGATGATTAGCATTCCAGGGCTTCTTAACAGAGTGAAATATTCCAGAAGAAATCACATGAATAGTTCTTGCATTCAGGATGGTTCAGTGGCCTCGGAGAGCAGTCACAGCACATCTCTGACACACTCTGTCTTAGTTTGCTTGGCGGGGTAACTTGTGCTCTTGTGATCTCTGAGTTGAAGAATTAGTCCTAGCTGCTCTTTTGAGGATGGCATTGGGCTTATTGCAGTCTGAATCCTTTTGTGCAGAAGGAAGAAGTCGTAGGCGTAAGTTTCTGGGTATTTTTGAAATGCTACTCCCAAAGGCACCAACTTCCACATGCAGAGTAAAAAACATTGCTCTTTCTTACAGTGCAGATGAAACAGATTACATACAGTTTATTTATAAAGTTTTATACACCTGAAATGTCAGAAACATTTACAACTTTTCTGTTTTCTTCAGAGTTCTGAAAAGATTAAGTCATACAATTACACTGCTGTCTCCTTTGAGTCGGATGTCTGTGACGGCTTGAAGTTCAGTATCTCTTTATATGTAATGCCTGGAAAACAAAAGAACAGACAGTAGTGTTGCTGGTCTAATCAGAAAAGGAGCTGCACAGACATGAATGAGCAAGGTGCACCCCCCAGCATGACTAGGCTCTGATCTAGCTCAGGGAGACCTCTTCAGGCAAAAAGAGAGAAAGAGTACGAAAAGGAAGGGAATCAAGGATCATTTTCCCACCACTTCAGATTTGAAGAAGCAGCCCAATAGTGAAATGGTATAGGTGGCTTTCAAAGGGGTACAAGCATTGACTTTAGAGGATAGTGGGCAATATCATCAGGAAGAGCTACACAGCACATCAGCTTTAAAAGTCAGGTCCTCACCTAAAAGCCAAAATACAGACATCAGATATTAGATGAAAAGATTCAGACTTAAGTCTCCACTGACATAGATATGTTTTCTCTGCCTGAGAGAATCTAACTTTAGGGCCAGCAACCATTGCAGTCCAATAGAGCCAACAGTCAAAGGATCTGTTTGCCTGTCCTATCCACTGGCAGGCATGTTTCAGAAATGGTTTCTTTTCTATGTTGCAGAAGATGGGAGGACAGACATATGAAGAAGCGGGAGAAGGAGGAGAGCCTATGCTAGGAGGCAGAGAAGAAACCTGGGAGAGCATTCCAGGAGGATTTGGTACTTATAAGAACTTGGTAAGTAGCATTTCTCTACCTTAATGCTGTCTATTTACTCTGTTCAATTGAAAGCAGAGGAGGTGATTTGTAAAGGGGAACATTCCTATTTCTGGTTATCCTTTCAATCTGGTTATTTTTGAAAACATCACAAAACTAGACTCACGCTTCCACTCATCTAGGGGTAGATCCATGTTATCAAATGTGTCATCATATTTCTCAGCTTCAATTTCTTCCTCAGGATCATGAATTGGTTCAAAGTAAGGATGCATCAAAGCCTCAGCTGCTGTGACTCGCTTCTCCGCATCCAGCACCAGCATCTTCTCCAAAAGATTTACAGCTGTTGCAAAGAAAACAAACAGTGTATTCAAACCATGCAACTGATTCCACTTGTACACAGTAACATTGCCCTGGAGGTATTTCAAATAAATACATGGAGTTATAAAGTGGAGGTGTCCATTCTGTAGCCAGTGGGGCCCATCTGCATGACAAATAGTTCTTTGAGTAAGCTGGGATATGTACAAAGCCTGATACAATGCAGAGGTGCTCCCTTGCTTCTGTATGCAATACAAATAACATCTCAGCTTCTGGCTCCAGGACCACTGTGGTTGGGGCTTTCCCAGTGTCTTTCATCACTGCCACCATGTTGTGATTCTAAGGTACATCACCACCTCACAACAGCAGAATGAACAGGTGAACAGCTAATGAGAACTGCCCCCTGTGTGACCAAATCCAAGCCCAAGTACACTTTGAAGTTCACTAAGACACGTCAGTTGTCCATGCTCAGAATTTCAGAGCTGACCTTATCTGCTATGTGGTTTTGATCTCAGCCAAAATAATCCATTAAAATCTTGTGTGTTTCCCTATGGGGGATTTTGGATCAGATCCATTGTTACACTGTCAAAATGGGATAGTGTAAACAGGTATGATGAATGATTTATTTTCTGTTTTTCTGTCCTGACAGGATGTTCATGGGTTGGGTGGAGTAATTGAAAGGAAGTAGAGACAGCAGTGTGGGACAGGATGCTTCAACTCCTGCTTGCCATGCCACGTTGTGTATTCTCTCCAACCTTCTCTTCCAGATCAGAAGTAGCCAGATGGCCACAGAAGTGAGAAGAGAAATCCTAAAAACTAAATGGAAATGTAGTTTGCTGTAGAGGAGAATGTCAGTGAGCTAACCATGCAGTCAGGGTAAGAACCGTTTATTAATCAAGTTTATCTCTGCAGCATCTGAAACTAAAATTTTAACTTCTTAAATTGCAAAGATTCAATTATCCTAGTTCATATTCTAATAAAACTGGCTTTGTGAGTGTTAAGGTCACTGAGGAATTGATAAGATTTTGGTAGAGTCATCTCAGAGCTCTGACTGCCTTGGGTCATGTCACAGTTATGCACACTTGGTATGCCCTTCTGGCTGTTTATATATATCGAATCCAAGCCAGTGCTTCTCAGGAATGCACAGGATGTATTAATTCTGTTACTAAAATATTAGCTTTCTATTTTCTTGCATTTCAACTGTAGGTCCGATTGAGTTTTCAGAATTGTATTTCAGAAGCAATACATGGAAAATACAATACAGAGAAAATTTTATTACATGTATTTTAATTTACCAGAGCTCTTGGAAAGCTGCTCAAGCAAAACCTATGAGCAGGTGATGGATTGAAACCTGAAATACAAGATACTTTCTTTTTGATGCTTCTAAGAAGCTGATTCCTGATGAGATTTAAACTTCACAAAGTTCAGCCACTACGATCAAAACTACGAATTATGGAAAGCAAGAGATAGAATAGCACAAGAACCATCCCATCACCTATCACATGACTGATACTACTGCTGCCTCCAATGCAAACAAAGACCAAATTGCACACATCCACGCAAACTGCCTTACCCAAAGGATTCGCATACTTCAAGATGGATGCAAAATCTTTCTTCTGGACTTTTGGGAGGCTTTTGATATAGTTTTTTGCCTCAAAAGAAACATGAATATTAAATTAGACCATTGCCACCTTTGTAATGTGACAACATTAACTATATGCTTAGTAGGTAACTCAACAATGCTGTGATAGCACACTATGAATGCATTTTTTCTGTGTCATAAACCCTAATGATATTCACCTACTCACTGAACAGAACTTCAAAAAATAATCAAACCTTAAAACCATTAGAAATTATAATGTAACGCTTTGATTATTAGTGCTCCATATTTAATATATTAATAGAATAAATAGGTATGAATAATTTTAAAGAATAGTGAGTTTACAGGAATCTCTAGAAGTGAACCTTATACAGTAATTCATTAGTATTTAAATTGTACAGTTAGTCGAAGAATAATTATAGATTCTTTGTAGTAAGGGCATCCATATAAGAACAGGAAACAGATATTTGCAAAGAACTGGGTTTTTGGAATATCTTTATGCTTTCAGTACCTTTCCAATAAAAGTAGTAAGTTATCAGCTCAACTGTTTATATGGTACACACTGGAATTTTGAAGTATTTAAATATGCAGATTTTTCAACTGTTCTGATAATTTTCTGTTGTGTTACCCCCCATCTCCAGTAGCTATTGTGGGTGTGCAGAACATTTCAAGGCAGAGAGGTACCGTCAGGGGTATTTTGGTAGTCAATATATATTATCCCCTCCAGTTTAAGAACTAAGCATGGCTTAAGTAAAATTAAGACAAGTAACCAACTGACAAAGCAGAATACTCACATCTTGACTGTGCAATTTTTGAACAAAATCTTGAGTTGGTGTACCTGTTATTTTCATTATTTCTGTGAGTTGGTCCAGATCTGAATACCACCAATAAGGAACAAACTCTTTCACCCTGCAAAAATAATGCTTTTCTTTGCTGTTGGAGAATGAAGTAAAAAAATCTTAATTCACGGACTAAACAGAAGATTTATAGAAATGAAAGTCCTCCATTTTTCTTACAAAAGGCAAAGGCACTAAAAGCACCTTAAATAAATACTATAATACTATAACCTGGGAACAGATAATTGAATAATCTATAAAATTTTGTAATATTATCAGGTCTCTTCTATATTTTTTGACAGAAATCAGTCCAAAAGTAAATGGAGTATCTGTACAATCAACACACATATTGCACACACTGCTCTGGTCTATCCAATACTTAGGTGACATAGAGGCAGGAAAAGTCACGGGGAATATAAGGTGGTATGGTAACTAACAAAAATCAAAGAAAAGCAGTCTGTATTAGTTCTTCTCCATCCTAAGAAACATCAAGAGGAGAAAAATTAATCCTTTTCCTCCCTATTTCCCACATGCTTAACTTGCTGAGATGTTGGAGACATTGGGGTGAGGTATCAGAACACTCCCTAACCTTCAGTGTCCTAACCCAGCAGAGATTCATCAGCAACATCTTTAGCTGTTTCAGAGAAGAAGCAACATATTTACAGGAGGGTAATGCTGCAAAGAAGAGCTATATGATTTGCTTGCTGCTCTGGTAAGAGCAGCAGATGAGAAGCTAGAAGCTAGATCAGAGCTCAGAGCACATGCAGGAAAAGTCAATGGTTGATAATACTAACAAAATTAAATAAACAAATAAAACCTATACCAAGTTGGCAGAATAACCTATTCATAATTCTAAACTAAAAATCCCCTAAGTTAGCTGTTTTCTTATTCACCTACCCACAGCTGAACCCACGGCTGCATTTCCCTGAGAATAGGTAATACCGAATCATATACTCAAAGGCCAACAATGACTATTACACTGGGATAATTTCCTTTGTAATATAGAACACAGAACTTCAGCCAACACTTCTAAAATCTCCAGAACCCAGTATGACTAAAATACTAGCTCTTTCACTTTTAAGGCTTATGGTGCACCATGAAAATCCTGATTCATTTATTTTCTTATTTAAATACCAGAATGCTCAAGGTTATCATTAGTTGAGAAATACTGTGTTAGCCAACAGCTGTTCTTTGACAGGCATTTTAGTATTTTCTTGTTAAGAACTAATGCATACTTAAAACCTGTACAGCCTAAAAAAATCTGATGTATTTTACTTTTCCATAGTCCCTGCCATTTTTTTTTTGTGAACACAATCTTTCTCTTGAATGTTTTTCTTCACAAAATGAGAATAATATGATCCATTCAATGAAGTCCTGATATTACATGTAAGAACTTAAATACAAATATAACTAAAATTAAGCAATTGTGATTCTGTAAACAAGTATTTGCAGGTAAGTGATTTATTGACTGCAATTCCACAAGGGAGAAAGTAGCACAATATGATAAGGCTGAGCTGTTAAACAAAAAAAAAGGTCAAAAATTATTGCTGTCTTCGAGTAACACTGTCCCTTATTAAGTATTACAACTACTACTGTCAATGAAGTATCACTTGAAGATGAATTATGGCTTAATTTTAACAATTTTCTGAATTGCTCACAGTGAAATGATAGGACTAAATGTTTTCTGTAAATCTACATTTTACTAGATGTTACTTACATAACATTTTTTAATGAAAGCCTCAAAAAGCATGGAAGGGACTAGGTTGTGCACATAAATCATATACTACAGCAGAGTCTTCTGTGCATGTTCTGGAATCTGTTACTAAAAAAATAAATATTGCCTTTCTAGTACCACAGAACCTTTTACCTGATGATCTGAGATGTGATTCAAAGATCACCTCTATTGAAAACCCCAGTAATACAAATTTTAATTGGTAGATGTACGGAAGTGGCACAGATATGTAATAACCACTTAATGAGAAGGGTACAAGCCATTTTAATATTAATTTCAATTTATACTCATCAATTTTTGAACAGACTTACTGTGTCACAGAAGAATCTCTCATAATTTTCTTACATTAGTGTCATAAATTCAATGAAGGATACGATCATTTCCTTTGAACAGAGGCCTCCCCGTTATCATCTCAGCCATTATACAGCCCACAGACCAGATGTCAACTGAAAAAAAGACCAAGAGGTACATTAAATTGCAGATTGCTTGTTCGTTTAAATGCCCATAAAGTTTAATTTAAAACATATTTTAAAGAAGTATAAAAATTACCTTTACAACCTGTTATAAAATAAATGTGTGCCTTGCCAAGTATGATGAACAGCAAAGGTAGAACTATCAGACTTTCTAATAAGCAAACTGGAGATAATCTCATAATATGCAGAGTGAGTTTCTCAGTAACAGGTAGATGCACATGGGAAGTAAATTTTCAGTGCTTTCAAAAACTTCCAGTTATCCCAGTATTATTTGAATTCCCTCCGTCTGCCACTTTCCTTTGTGTGAGTGACAATCGGCACATCTTTGCAAGAACACAGGAACAGTGACCAAAGTGTTACATCTGTATACATTTAAATAGTTTTTATCCAATCACCTTGGCACTTTCTCTTACTCTCAGAAAATACATATAAAAACCCCCAAACTCACAACCACCACATGATTACCTGAAATTTATCTGCAAGGAAATTTTGCATTATTACATTGTCATTTTCACCTCCATTTTCTCACTCATTTCAGAAACAAGTGGTTGTTTATATACTGCCTGATTCAGTGAATGCTTTAGCTCTGTTAAGACACTTCTGAAGAGATACTGACCTGTTTGAGTATAATGCATCCAGTTAAGGATGACCTCTGGGGCTCTGTACCACCTTGTAACCACATAACCAGTCATCTCACTGTCTGTATGCCTCGCCAATCCGAAATCCAGAATCTGTAGTGGAAGCACAAAGAATATTCTGATCAGACAGCTTGTTATCTAGTTCAGACAGATGTTACAAGTGTAGAAAATAAAATAAAATGAACCCCAAAGTGGAGCAATCTGCAGAGATTGATTTATTTTTGCATCTTTTTCTCATTGAAGTGTCTTGTTCTTTTTAAAAAAATCAAGACAGGGGTAGAAAGGAGCTTTGCGCAATTATTTTTTAAGTTACATACTCCTACAGCAACACCAAAAGCTGTAAAGCCAGTAAAGAAAACAATAAATTACTCACTTATTAATTAAAAAGATAATGGACACATTCAATGCAAAAAATTCCCTGACCGTAGAATCACCATCGTATCATGTTACAGCTAAAAGAACAGTGTCTACCTAAGGTGTCCATTGCTCTCATATCCCAGGTGGCACAATTATTCAAGAGTGTGTTCCAATAGTATTCTGAAGTAAGGACTAATTGTTATTTCTATTCTATGAGTAAATCATACAAGGGAAGACTTCCTCTGGGTCACATTGAAAATCTGCAACAAGAGTAGGGAGTTATCATCATTTAGTCCCACCACTTTTTCCCAGCCTCCAGTATCAATTAGAGAGACACTTTCATAAGAAATGCAAGATCAGTGCAATTTTTTATACGATTATGCACAATTCAGCTTATTTCTAAGATTCTCAGATATTTATCTCTAGATACAGCAATGTGTACAGCAGCAAGATTAAAAGTGAATGTTATGGCCTTTTGTCAGCTGCTACAAAGTTTACCTTAAGAAAGCCCACCTGCATGGACCATCAAAAGACGGTGCCAAAAGATGCAGCCAATAGCCAGAGAATTCTGCTCCAGGAAAGACAATCAGTTTGTATTTATCAGAAATTTCATGCTTCTGACAAGAAGCATGGGGCTTGAGTAAGTAAAGTCTATTCAAGATAAATCACTGTCACCCACAGGTAACTGAATATGCAGCTTTGCATGAACAGCCATTAGTTGCCATGTGTATCAGGCCTCACCTGGGTATTACTGTACCAAGAGTGATGTTTTTTTAATGCTCTCTACAATTAAACATTCTAAAATATTTCAGGGTAGTTTCATCATTCCCTGACAAACATTTAAAAATATTTCAAGGTAATTTCATCATTCCCAGGCACTAACAGAAAGGAAAATTATATTTTCATTCATAGATCAAAAGTACAAAATGTTATGGCTTATCTTTATTGTCATACTTGAAATACCACTTCCATATTTTCCCCACAGCTGCTGATTACCAACCAATTAAAAAACAGGAATAGGGTGCAAAGGGAGATGTTTTTACCTTACATTTGATTATGGTTGATTCTTTAGATGCTGAAGATTTACTGGACTCAAAATATTTGCACTGCCAAAATACACTTTTATATGTGACTTTTCAATTTATCCTACATATTAAGCACACTTTGTTTTCCCAGTAACATGGTAGGGAGGGTGGAAAAAAGGAGGAAGTTTTACATAACAGCTCAAAATCTAGATGTGGTACCATCTATTCTGTCATAGTTTTTTATGCCGTTTCTCTACCAAGGCTTGTGACGTGTGGAGCTGGAAACAGCTAAAATATAATTTGGCTTTGTAGTTTTGTAAAAGTAGAAAACACAGTAAGAAATTTTGTGCACTATATTTTAACTTAATGTTTTATTTTCATTTACATATTCATTAAGCTTAGGAGCAAGCATATCCTATTTGTATTTAATATTAATATGGTATCACTTCAACAACTATCTTCACATACAACTTATTCTCACACACTAATCTTCACCTTTTCAGCTTAAGCTTTCATAGCAATTTTCAGAGCAAGTTTGAAAATCCTTTTTATAATCCGTGAATGATGAAAGAAAGAGCAAATCCCTCTCAGCTCTTCAAGGATAACTCCCCTTCAACTCAGCAAACTTCATTTTCCTAACTTTCTTCAGTCACCATAACAAAAATAACTTGTAACTTTGAGACTACAGAAAGGGCAGTGATTTCTCCTCATGCACCCTTTACTGTCACTTTTCCGATATCTATGTAGAACATCAGACAAGGAAGCCAGAAAGCTCACTGTGAAAAATAAAACTGACAGTCTATTAATTAGTTACCAATTCAAGGAACTGTCCCAACTTGCCTACAACCTCATCGTCACTGGAGCCTGTGCAAGGGAAGCTGCCGAGTGCACAGATGGGGTGGGGAAAGGCTGGGCTCTCACTGTCAGTGTGGTCCTGTGCCTGCATAAACTGACTCTGAGACTGCATTCTCAGGGCAAGGTCACATCCCACCCACTGCACCCAAATGGATGTATACAGGGGGAGTCAGCCCAACTCCTTCAGTGTTAGCATGATCCCAGTTAAATCCTCACCCTGATATTTTTTATGCACAGTTCTCAATGAATTATAGTTTGCTTTGTTAGTCAGCTGAAGTTGCCTTCTGACAACCAGTATTTCCTAACTGCAAATTTGCACTTTTCTTCTGCATATGATATCAGAGCTTACGGTATGACCGGGGACATGGTAATTATGCTCTGAGAGTCAAGAAATGAAAACTAAAGCTTAATACTACATTTCATCCTTTTCATTTCACAAAACTGTGTTCTGATACAGGATTGTTTGCCTCAGTTTACCTAAAAGCTTAAAAATGCCCAGGGTAACAGAAAAAAAATTGTGTTAAATAAGTAGATACCGGTCAGGAGATCGTATCACAAAAGAATGTCCTAGACCTGACCTGCATCTCAAAATGTAATTGCACAGCTGGGGAAAGACAAACATGTACAATTGTTTTTTTCCTAGATTCTCTTTTTTTCCCCCATCACCCAGGGGTCCACTCACCATTTGGCCAACTACAAGCCAGAAGAAGACAACAACTTTTTGTGTTTGTTTTCACAGAACCATGAACATTCAGGTCAGTCTCAGCACAAAAATTTCTATTACAATAGCTACATGTAAGCACTTGGTTTGTATGTTGTATGCTAAAAGCATTTGCAGTGTTGCATCACCTTTTTTTTTATTTAATTAAGGGTGTGCTTCACAGTCTTTGATCTTCTCTTCTGTATCTTTCACCAGGTAGAGTTAGACCTTTTCAATTTATTCAAAGCCGAAATTCTCACATAACTGAACTGCTCCCATAAAATCTTATGTCTCTTTTTGGGAGGAAACCTTGGACATAAGATCTAAATGTAATTATGCATCCAGACACAAAAGCTCCCATTCAAATTCACAGTTGTTTTGTGAGGATGTATAGGCCAATCCTGATTCAATTCAAGCACAGGAGAGAAGATACAGCTTGATTTTGTAATTAAAATAAAAATCCTGACTGGCCTTTGAGATTGCTAGAGCTAAGAGAAGATAGGTGACAAAAGCAATTCTGAAAATTAACAAAAATTAAATACAAGGATAGAATTAATTGGGGACTGGAAGCAGTCTGGGGCTACTGTGGCTACACTCACCAGAATAAGCTATATTCTTAAAATACACAGTGTTGAGTACTACAGAATCCTACCTTATAATAAATATTTGGCTTTTTTTTTATAACAAAGTCATGCTACACAGCTAAACAGATGCATTTTTGCTAGGTCAGGGTACATTGCATAATTATTTCTGAAGTACAAATAATATCCACTCTAATAGGCTTTGGAAGATTTCCAGTACATGTCAGAAACTGCAACCAAAACTGGTCAGGTTTAGTATTTCAGTTCAGTGATTCAGAATGAGGCTTGATGTGACAAATGTTGCAAGGGTGCAGAATAACTACTCAGATGGACTGTACTGACAACATCGCCAAGGAAGTGATAACAGCTACACTTCAGAACAGATAACTTCCCTCAGCAGGTGCTACAGTCCTGGTCTCCAAGGGTGCATGCCAGCTAAGCCCAGTTTCCATATGGAAAGGGGTGTGGATCTGCACTGTCCTTCTAACCCACCTTTGGAGGAAAACCCTGATGGGTAGGACAAAGAGAGTCATGCTGCATACCAATACTTGTCCTAAACCTGAGAAGCAACAACCAGGTAACACAAAAACTACCACCAAATGCACCTCTTTGCAGTGTAGCAGCAGAAACAACTAATAGCTGAACTATAGGAGACTGAATTCAGAATTGTCTCCCTTTAATGAATTTCTTTTTCTTACTACTTCAGTTAAGAGCAAAAATGAAGCAGGAATTATATATTCCTGCTACAAAATACACAGAAGTCTACATGCAATTGATACTGCTGATAGCTGCAAAAATACAGAAGAAAACACTTTCAAAGATATAAAATACTCTTGTTCACAGTGAGCAGAATGTGATTCCTTTAATGCTTGCCTGAAGTGATTAGCTGCAACATATCATAATCACAGTTCTCCATTACAGTTCTTATCTGACTGCAACCATCACAGGATTTTTTCTTGAAAAGTACTTTAGTTGAGTGACTGCATAAAAAGGATACCAGTATGCATTGCAACATACACATCATACAGGAAAAGGGTTACTATTAAGCAACGAGGCTGGTGAAGGGACTTGAGCACAAGTCCTATGAGGAGAGGCTGAGGGAGCTGGGGTTGTTTAGTCTGGAGAAGAGGAGGCTCAGGGGTGACCTCATCACTCTCTACAACTACCTGAGAGGAGGTTGTAGCCAGGTGGGGGTCGTCTCCTCTCCCAGGCAATCAGCAGTAGGACAAGAGGGCACGGGCTTAAGCTCTGTCAGGGGAGGTTTAGGTTGGATATTAGAAAGAAGTTCTTTACAGAGAGAGTGATCAGGCATTGGAATGGCCTGCCCAGAGAGGTGGTGGATTCACTGTTCCTGGATGTTTTTAAGATGAGTCTGGATGTGGCACTGAGTGCCATGATCTAGTAATCACAGTGGGATTGGATCAAGGGTTGGACTTGATGATCTCAGAGGTCTCTTCCAAACCAGTTAATTCTGATTAATCATGATTCTATGATTCTATGATTACTGACATGCTCCTTCCCTTGGTATGGGCAAACAGCTGTGGCATGGCCTGCTGTCAACACCAAACCCACAGGAGCAGTTTCAGTTCTTACACTACCTGCCTGTCATCCCGCTGGAGAAACTCAAGTCACCAACCACTCTAACGATGCCATGAATGTAATAACCTGTGGCACCAATTCCCTTATAAGAAATCCTCTATATCCTGGAGATGACCCCATCTCTTCCCTGCTAGCACTGGGTACAAGCTTCCTGGAGTGTCCTATCTGAACTAGATGTTTTCAGCTGAGACATCCTGGGCAAAGCCTCTAGCTTCAGGCACAATCATTTCTTGGGCTTGATTGATGATCTCAGAAACTGATCATCACCTCTGCTGTTCTTATGAATTGCACATTTGAGTCAGTCAAGGACATTCAAATGGGGGATAAATATTCACTATTCAGTGTTTTATTTCTTCAACAAATATTTAATTATTATTGTGATGACTGAAGTCAGACAGATGGGAAATTACTTTTAGGGAGCAATCTCTTGTAGTTTTTTTTCAAGTCAGTTACCATTGCCCATCTAATCCTCTTCTATTTCTTTTTCCCCATGTTCCTCTGTTTCTCCATGACTTCTCAAAGCCTATGGGCTAAAAGCTTGGCCCATCACTGAAAACAGCCAGCACGTCTACAGCTGTTGCACCCACTGTCTTGTCTTCTAATACATCTAGCTGCTTTTTCAAATAAACATACCTTACCTTCAATTCACAGTCTTCATTTACTGCCAAGTTTCCAGGCTTTAGATCCTATAACCAAATTTAAAATGGATGTTATTTTATTTTTTTATTTTACAGCAAGCACAATAAAGCACTCTTTCCTGCTTTCTTTCTGTCTTTTTTTTTTCTTTCTGGTTTTATAGTTTTCATATAACTATTTTGAACAGCAACAGGTAAAACAATGTCATAACAAATCACACAAACAAGGACACAAACTTGCATATGTTTGGCTTTTTCCCAGTATATTTCCTTCCCCTCCCCCAGAAAAATCAACTATTTTTTCTGCTACAAGTCAGGAAAATACTTGCCAGTGAAGGAAGTCACTCAGCTTTCTTTCTGTGAGTGTGGTTTGGCCATAAATTTGCTGCATTTAATACTAACACCACAAGTTAACAATACACATATATATTTCTGGACTGTACATACTGCATTTTAACATATACTTTATAAAGGTGGCATACCCTGATACACTTAGAAGGAGTACCGAAGGAAACAAACAAGATTTTACATAAAAGGCTATGCTCTCTTCTGTGGGAAAACCAATTTCCTGACAAAGCCCATTGAACTGTAACATTAAAAAAGTATTCACTTAAGTCTCTTTAGCTACCGTGGGGACTTCTAATGATCTTCAAAAGTTGTACAGTTTAGCAAAAGGGAAGAGTACCGGCAATGACTAAGACGATATTGCAACAGCAGTGACTCAGACATGCGCACTCAGAAACAAAATTTCCTTCAGCTTTCTCAAACCTTTGTTTGATACACTTTAGCACAAGATGTTTAAAAGTATCTTGTCTCTAAACTTTTTAACAGGCATCCACCTGTTTTATACAAAGATGTTTCAAGATCAGAGGGGCCTTGGAGAGAAACAATTTGATGCAAAGAACCTTTAATGAAACCAAGAAGTTCAAGGGAAATCAAGAGGGAGCTTAGAAAAAGATTAAGCAACGGTAAATTTAGACCATGATCACAGCAGTTGCAAAAATAAAAATATAATTACATTACATCATGCGTAGTTTCCATGTCCAGTTTAAAGCTGCTTTACAATGTGCACTCCCTATGGAGCTCTTGATACTTCATTACAAATGGACAATTTCTACTATTCTGATGCAGTTTTGGGGGGAAATATGCTGCTTGGTACCACGTGAGCATCATTCAGAACTCCTTCACAGCACAAAGTGATTTTAAGTGGACTTAGACACAAAAAGAATTCAAAAGTAATCAAATGCTTAATTTCTGGCAATAAAAATTTGAGGTTCTCAAGGTTTTAAAAGTTTGGACAATTTTTTCAATTTCTATGGTTCCCCCCCCAACTTTGAACACTAACATGATGTTTAAATAAAATCTAAATATTGTTTGTAAAAGTTTAGTTTTCATTAAAAACAAACAAACAATCAGAAAAGGCTCTTATCCATCCCAATTTAGGCACTTGCAGGGACTTCCAACTCAACTTCACAAAGTAATTTAAGAAATCCAAATTTAAGCTGTATTCAGTGCAACTTGAGTTCCCAACTTACACTGATGTAGCCATGCCACCTTTTGTTCTTATCGAAGAGGAAACCAAAAGCTTACACACAAACATCACTCACATTATCAAAATATAAACATCTGTAATGTTGTTTCCACTTACCCTGTGAATTATGCCTGATGAGTGAATATACTGTAAAAAGAGAAAGTATTATTTATTCATGAAGTCCCAACTTTAAGAAGTTGCCTAGGGTAGGGCAGAAAGTACTTTTTCATGGTGCTTAAGTAAATGGAAATTATAAAATGTTTACTTATTGCACAGATCTTTTTAGCTATGGTTTTCATGTTCACATAATTAAACTAGCATTTTACTCTTTCCCTCCCCCAATAATGAGAAACCACTAGATCAGTTTGAGTACTGCAATAGATCATACAGTTTTTCTAAGTCTTTCCATACACAAAATACCAGTTTCAGTTAATTTTTGGGATTTATATATATATATGTATCAGAATAAAACCTGCTATTTTATATATCAGAAATGTTCTCTTGCAATAGATGTCTCTGCTGTGCCATTGTAGTTTAGATTCATATGCTTCAGCAGCACTGATTTTTAAGAGATCATTAAAACTGGGATTAAGGCCAGTCAAGGTCTTATCTGAGGATTCTCACTAGATGCTTCAATATTTCCTCAATGAAACATGGAAAGGTCAAGTTACAAGACATTCTCCTTTACTTGAATATTTTCATCATCCTTTCAGTGACCTATTTAATGGCTCCCAGGACTAGTTCTTCTGGGAGGACACCTGATCAAATGCAGATGTTTGAACCCATGACTGTCACCAAATGCTCCCCACTGAGGTATGCAGTTCCTCTCACCAGCTGAATGATGTCCTAGAAGAGACTATTTTCATCATGGATAATAAAGGGAGGCTCTAGTAACTAGTTCAGACATAGGCATCTCTTGCAAGGATAGAAATGCAGTGAGTTGTCCTGAACTGAGGACATGCTTTCCAAGACTGGCCTGGGAGGTGCTGTTACTGCTCACTTCAGGTGTGGGGAACTGATCTGAAACCCCCACAGACCATACTACTGCTGACAGCTCATACTGCTGACACTAAGCAACACAAGAACAATAAAAGCTTTTAAATAAAAAGAATCCAGAAAAGATGGATAAGATGCACCTGGAGAACTTTCATTTTATTCCACCCTGAAGTATGGGACAACAACTGGTAAAAGAATTACTGGGAACCAACTCTCAGAGCCAGGAAAGACCAACCAGGGACAGTCAGCATGGCATCATGGAAATTCACAGAAGGAAGGAACTTTGCAGAATAACTGGAATGCAGCCACAGCCCTTGCAATGACCATCTTCCTTCCCAGCAGCCCTCAGGATAGGCAATCAACCCCAGGTATGCAACAGTCCCTCTGCAAAGGGGTCCTTGTAATCCAGCTGATGAGGGGACCAGGTAAAAAAAAGTAAAACTACAAAGCCAACTTCTACAGACTGATGCAATGTTCATTTCAGACTTAGATTTCTGAACTTAAACAAAACCCATACAACCTAAACAACACAAGATCTGCATTTAAGGCACCAAATTTTTAAAGCACTGACTGAAAAAATTTAAACCTCTGACAGTTTCTTTTTCCTCTCTTACACTTGACACAATGCACCAGATGTGGCCTCAGAGGTTCTGAAAAGAGAGGGGGAAAGAAATCAAAACCAATTCCCTTAACCCTGTGGCTACAACTTTACCAATCCAGCCCAGAACATGGTAGGGCCCTGTTGCTGCACAGTTGCACGGATTGCTGTGCCAGAGCCCAGACAGGTCTTGACATCTGTGGCAGACCAGTTCCTGCTACATATTATTTGCAGATTAGGCAAGATTTAACATAACCCATGGGAAATGCCAAAGCCCTTCACAGGATTTCCTGGGGCAGAAACAAGGGGCTGAGGGCATAGGGCTGCTCCCAAGACTGTAGTCCATAAAAACACTACGGCAAACAAAAAACTATGAAATGTTGTATCTGTCATGGATGTTCATAAAAGTGGACTGAAATGGGAAGAAGAGGAAGTGTGTCAATGGTATATGGAGACCAGAGAGGATATATGTGCCTTTTTTCCTTTTTTTTTTTTTTTTTTTAAGAAATGTACCTGTAAGTAGCCAGACTCCGAAGAAATTAAGAAAAAGAAGTCTTCTACCATAGCTGTCTTGATCAAGGATATCACAATGTCTACTTGCATTCTAAATTATTCTAATGTCTTCTAACTGAAGCCTCTTTATTTTCCAGCGCAGATGCTTAAAATATTCTACAGGTTGTTTTCTCTGATAAAACTGTACACAGTAGGAAATAGCTGGTTATTCTGCACCTAAGAATGCAGCATGTAGAATCAGGAATTAAATGGTCTGCACCCTTCAGAGTTTTAAAGTATATCTCACCTGTCTGGGGGGAAGAGTGTGGTTTTGCTGGCATTCTTACTGCACTGAAGGTTTTATGTGTGTTCACAGCACAAAAATGATGTTAACACTTTGGGGAGGGTTTATTCCTGATGCTAATGTACACATCAGACTTTTTATAAGCTGAAATACTCCTGCTGTGTTGCAGTATTTCTTTAACAACAGCAGTATTTTTTTAAATGCATTTTATTGTCTCCTGGAAGGTAGCAGCACTGGAACTATGCCAGACTTCATTCAGAAAATTTTCCATTTCTGTTCAACAACCATCTGAAATGGGATTCTGCTTTTACAGATTCTTCTCAATAAGTCAGCCATCTATCGACAGCTTTTTCATTCTTAAAATGGCAAAAAGATCCAGACCAGAGCAGACATACACTTCACAACGTTATTACCACTTCACATGAACAATATTTGATTCAAGAACTCAGTTAATGTGAAGGAAGTTCCTTGGAGCACTGTGTGTTATCCTAAAGACAATTTTTGGTAGTATGCATAAATCCTGGCATGCAAGTTTCAGATTGTGCTAGGAAGCCATCCAACAGTCATCTAAATTTTAAGCATTCTTGTCTGTGTATGTAATCTCTACACAAAATAAAAAACTAATCGAAAGGGAATTAGAAAAGACTCAGGAGAAAGTGTTCTGGGCAACATGCAAAATGAAAATGAAGAGCAACTTGATAGGGAAGAAAAAACAGAAGAGGAAATGGTGGAGAGGGGGAAGGGAAAAGAGAGAAGCAGAAAAAAACCCCAGCATAAATGTGAAGAAAGGGCAGTAAATATGGATGAGAAAAGAAAAGAACTGGAGCAGGTAAATCTTATTATTAAGTATGGCAAAAGAGGGTCAAACAGGTATTTGTATGGTCTAAGAGTTGTCCATTCCTTCTCAAACACTGTATGAATAAAGCAAGAGGAGTGACAGCCACCTCCCCAGACCTCTATAGATGGGAACCCAGTTGGCATTTCTGCAGAAGAGGGACCCAAGACTGAAAGTGATAGAACCTCCAGCTGCTTTCCACCTACATACAGACACTTATGTTTATCTTGCCTTCTGTAATCTTTGATAATACACAGCTTTTCTGTCAAAGAAACAAACAAAAAAAAAATTAAAGCTCTTCCAAGTTGCAAGCTCATACTTATGTAAAATTTAATGCCAGAGTAGGACCTGACTAGTAAACAGACAAAGAAGAGGCATGTCACTGTTTCTAAGTGGTAAATTGTGATAAATTACAAAGCTCACTGAAGAAAGGAAATGAGTATTTCATTCCCTGTAGAAAGAAGACAGTAAAATGGTAAGAACTGATAAACAAAGACCTCTTAGACTTGCAGAACAAAGTCTGAGGGCTTGATACAAATCTTCCTGAACTCAATATGACCTTTCTATTGACCTCAATTTATACACTTTTTTTAAATCAAGCCTGTTGAGCATTTGGTATACAACCAATCCAGAATCAGTCTACAGGTATAATGTAGAAACAAAACCTGTGAGGAACCAACTTGTGGGCTTAGCAAAAATCTCTCTTATGCCTTAATGACACATCAATCATGCAAAGTTTTCTTTACACACATTTAACTGCCACATGTAAACAGGCTGTTACAGTAAGATATGCAATGTGACAAAAGGGAACTGCCTTCTTGCCTTGACCAGACATAAATAGAGATACCATAAATTTCTCATATACTTTACACAAAGGACAAATGCATATTGCAGGGTATATCATTCACAGAATGATATAAACCTCTATCAGAATAGAGTTCATCGAAGTTAAAAGGTGGGAAAAAAGGGGCACTTTACAAATGCAAGGCTAAGCTTGGGAAGCTGAAAGAGTTTTACCATAAAGATATACAGGGTAGCATACTCCTTTTCAGGTGTTGCAAGCATTTTTCCCTTACAATGCCTCAACTAAGCTCTAGCTAAGCCTATGTTTGTTCCCCCTGCTCTGCCAAAAAAAAAAAATCTAAGTAAACAAAGATGGGCTTTTTAATTCAGATACAGTAGACCTTAAAAAGTACAAGATTTTTTATCCAAAACTTAGCAAACCCTTTGTAAAACAGCTAATTTACAGATACTTGTAAAAGAATAAATGAGTTACTGACTCATTCTCTTTTTTTCTCTGCATGCCAGCAATGCTGCTTTCAGCTTAACACGATTCCTAGCACAGACAGGGATACAAGAATGTTCCTCAAGCAGCGGACCACTCCTATTTCTTAAAAAGATTTCCAGGTAGGTGTATATTTCTGGCTGGATTAATTAGTTAATGAAGAATCCAAAATTTAAGGGAACAGATAAACACTGTTCTCCAGTGTTTACTGTGCAATAAGAAATGACAAAACAGAGTCTAGTAGCTGAATAATATCTTACCTCCTGTGGGTAATTTTGAGGTAAGTACACTTGTGCTCTCAAAAAATATGTGGGAAGAGACAAAATATTCAACCAAACCACTTCCTATAGAAGATGTAACACAGTTACAGAGATCAGAGATACAAATTTTCTAAGATTTTCTCAACATCCCTGCTGGTTGCCATGTAACTGTAACGAGCACTGCCTTTATTTTTATTAAATCTAGGGAATAACAGGGATCATCAAGAACTTCCTGTTCTTCTCCTCTGTGCTGGGTGGACCTTGGGTGGTCACCAGGTGCCCACCGAGCTGCTCTTTCATTGCCCACTCTCAGCAGAATATGGGGTAGAAAATACAGTGGAAAAGCTCATGGATCGAGACAAGGACAGGGAAACCACTGACCAATTACCACCATGGGCAAAACAAACTCTGCTTGGGAAAGATTAATTTAACTTACTGCCTATTAATAACAGAATAGAATAGTTTGAAACAACAACAAAACTAAAACCCATTCCCCCCGACCCACACACCCTTCCTCCCAGACTCAAGTTCACTCCTGATTTCTCTCCCTCTTACTCCCAAGTGGAATAGAGGGATAGGGAATGGGGACTGTGGACAGTCCATCATGTGTTGTCTCTGATGTTCTTCCTTTCTCAATCTTCCCCTGCTCTAGTGTGGGGTTCCTCCCACAGGAGACAATCCTTCATGAAGTGCTCCAGCATGGGTCCCCTGTGGGCCATAGGTCTTGCCATAAAACCTGCCAGGAGCCTGCTCCAGCACAGGCTTTCTGTGGGCTACAACTTCATTTAGGGCACATCCCTGTGTCCCAAAAGGATCCTTCATGGGCTGCTGTGTGGATATCCACTCTGTCATGATTGTCCATGGGTTGCAGGGGAGCAACCTGTGCTGCCACAGTCTTCTTCACTGACTGGGGAATCTCTGTTCTAGTCCCTGGAGCACCTTCTCTCCCCTTTCCTCACTGACCTTGGCACCTGAAGGGCCATTTCTCATTTTCTCACTCTCCTCCCACAGCTGTTACACAGCATTTCTTTACCCCTCCTTAAATCCGTTACCACAGAGGTGCTGTGAACATCCCTCATGGATTCAGCTTTAGGCAGTAACAGGACTGTCTTGAAACCCTCTGGAACTGACTCTGTTCAACACGGAGGCAGTTCCTGCTGTCTTCTCACAGAAGCCACCCCTGCAGCCTCCACTCCACTAACAAACCAACCCTACCACACAAACCCAATACATTCTCTTAAATTCCTGCTCTATTGTCTTCCTATGTATGTCAACCATGTACAGTTGCTCCACTTCCCTTCCATATTTACTGATCCAACAGACTTCAGTGTCAGCCTTTGGGGCCCACAAGCTCTGCTCTGTTAGCCTCTGCCAGATAATGAATGTCACTAGGACCAGAATATGTTTCTATGCCATTTCACTGGAATTAAATTAATTATTCATCCTTTCCACTACACTCAACTTGAGCTAATCATTTACAGTTCATATATTTCTTGCCTGTAAAGTTACTGCAAATGATGTTTTTCATCTCTGGTGAATAGCATGCCTCTCCTGGAAACCTGCTTCCCAGACAGTTACCTGCAACTAAACAGACCACTCCACTTGTACGGTCCTTGAGAGAACACTTACTAGGACATGGCTTTGTAACTAGGGAACTAATTACAAAACTGAAATCATAACTCCACATTCAAAGTCCAGATTGGAGGTAAATTCTCTAGTTTAAATAAAACCAATTTCCTAAAACCTGGCTTTTGTAAAATCTGCATTTGTAAAATAGGAATTGGAGCACTTAAATGCACAACTGTAGAAAAAAAAGGATAATTACTTAGTGTATATAAAAGGCTATGTGAGTAAAAATTTTCTAAAATAAGAACACAAAATCCAAGGTAAGGTCAAAGAGAAATCAGTAATGCAGGACTCAACAACAAAGTATATTTATTAAGTTTTGTGACAGGAGTAAAACAATTTAAGTAACCTTCTCTGCCTTTAAGTACTGAGAGATGATGGAATCATGGGTTTGCTGCTCCTGGTGTTGCTGTCCAGGCATAGCATGCTGTTCTTCTATATTAATTATATTTTAATAGTGTTTGATAATACAAATAGAGATCTGGACGAATCAGCGTTCTGATGGATGTGCCAGACAGTCCTGTATCAAAATCAGTTCAGTATTTCCACTGCACAAGCACATCCCTATGCTGACCCCACCTATCTCTGTACGAGCACAGAGGAAAGTCCACCCTTATGTTTTATGTTGCAGGCAGAGGACCATAAGACCAAAATTGTACAGCGCCAGCAGCAGCCAAGGAATGACAGACATTCCATTTCAGACAGTGCTGTTCCGCGGCCTCCTTACACCGTGTGTCTCCAGAGAGCAAAGGGAATTAAACAGCTGAAGCCTGCAGAGCTAGGCCGAGGTTTTTCTTCTCTTGGAACTTTGTCACCAAAAGAAAAAAAAAGTAATAAGGAAGTAGTAGCCTTTTTGCAATCAACAGCTGTGTACACCCAAAAAGCAAACACTGTAATTTAATAACTATAGTACTAATCTAGACCAAGAATCATTTTCACATTGCATTAACATACATTATAGATAAAAACAAGGGAGATTCAAGACGTCTTCTTTTTGTGTTGTATGATATGAACTTCAATTAACACAGACCAATTTTTAAAAGTCAGAGGAAAAAAGGAGTAGCATTAATAAACAGTATTTAGTAAAATATGAGGAAGAAAAACATACAAAGTATATGATAGTTAATATTTTTAGAATCATTCTTGTAAGAATCAGTAAAAATCAAGATTATGTTATTTTTCTATAGCTGTAAGCTCTGCAGTCCACAAAAATATAAGAGAGATGAACATAAACATTATTTCTGAGAAGGAGTAGGGGATTAACAAGCTCACTGTCAGGGTTATTATCTAGGGAAAAAAAAAAAAAAGAAAACCATGAACAAGCCCAACAACTTAGAGATTATGTCTGGTTATACGCATTGTTCAAGTGTAAGAAAATGATACACTGAAATTATTATTCCTTCCAAGATACCATGCTCCAGCTAAGTCAAGACCTATTGGAAGAGCTACAAGATGAAGTGTTCCTACACAGTTCAAAACTAGACAAATCTCAATGGTCCCTAACAGCCTTTTATGAATCCTTTCCCAATTTCAGAATGTAAAATGTCAGCACATAACAAAAACAGATTCTAGAAGGCAAGATCAAGCAAAGGTGGCAGGAGGTCTACATGATGAATGAAGAATTCCTAGGGAAACTGAAAACATAAGAAAGAAGTGTACATGAGGTAGAAGCAGAATCAGGTCATCCAGCCGGAATGTGGAGACACTACCCAAGTGTGCAGAGATGGAATTTGGAAAGGTGAAGTCCACTTGCTCCTGAACCTGGTAAGGGACCTGAAGGTCAACATAAAGGGCTTCTACATGCAAATCAGGAGCAAAAAGAAAACCAGTGAAAACACAGGCAACTGCACAAGGGGCATGGAAAAAAACCCCAAGGTACTCAATGCCTCCTTTCCATCCAATATTACTAGTAATATTTTCCAGTGGTTTCAGGGACCTATGATTTGTCTAAGTCTGAAGCAAGGAAAACTTACCCTCAGTGGAGGAGGATCAGATGAGGGAACATCTAAACACACACAAGTTTAACATTTAAATACCCCAATGGGATGCACTCATGAATTCTAAGACAAGTTGGACAATGTCATTGGGAGGCCACTTAAGAATATCTGAAAGGTCATAGTGATCAGGAGATGCTCCTTATGATGGTAAGAAAGCAAATATTGTTCATGTCTTCAAAAGGGCAAGGAAGAAGAGGATCAGTCAGCCACACCTCATTGTCTGAGAATGTAATAAGCAAGTAATTCTGGAAAACATTTCCAATGATTAGAAGGATAAAAAGCTGATCAACAGTAGTCAGCACGGATTTACAAAAGGGAAAACCATGCCTCGTTATCCCATTAATCTTCTATGATAAGACAACTTTCTTGGTGGATGATGGGAGGGTAGTCAGTGCTGTTTACCTTGAGTCTAACAAGGCTTTTGAAACTCATAACACCCTAAGAGACAGGGGAATATGAGTTAGATTAATGGACAGTGACTGAACTGTTTTGATTAAAGGACCCTGATCATTGGCAAGAGGCCCATCACCAGCCCTGGCCCCCTTAGGAACAGTACTGAAGTCAGTCCTGTTTAGCATCTTCATGACTGATGTGGATGATAGACAGAGTTCTCTCTCAGTAAAGGATGCAGAACTAAGAAGAACATTCACACACCAGATGATTGTGCTGTTGTTTAGCAAGACCTCCACAGGCTGAAGAAATCGGCTGATAGGAACCCACCAAAGTTCAACAAAATCCTGTACCTGGGAAGGAATAATCCCAGGTGCCAAACAAGGCTGGGGGTTGACCAGCTTGGCAGAAAAGGACCTGAAGGTACTGACGGACAAGTTGAATGTGAGCAATATGTCCTTGCAGCAAAGACAACCAAAAACCTCATGCATTAGGCAGAGGATTGCCAGCAACTTGAGGGAGGTGATCCCTCCCCTTTTTTCAGGTCTAGTGAGACACCTGGAGTGTTGTGTTCAGCTTTGGTCTTTCCAGATAAAGAGACACTGAACCAAATCCAGTGAAGCTTAGTGATGATGATTATATGACTGAAGCATCTAATGTAAGAGGAGAAACTGAGACAGCCAGGATTGTTTAGCTGGATAATTATATTTTCTGTATATTCTTTTACTATATAAGGTGAGAAAAATTTTATCCTGCTATCAAATGATAAATATTTATAGCTCTCCTTAATGGTTTGCTATGAAAAAAAGACTGTGAAAATCAAAATAACAGTAGAAGTGGCAAACCTTTAAGCCTTTCAACATCTGATATACCAGGAACTGGATTCGGTCTTCAGTTAGTTTCTCATGCTTCATTATCTTACTCAAGTCTGTTCCCATAAATGGCATGACGAGGTAGCTTAAAACAAAACAAAACAAAACAAAACAAAAAAAGGAAAAGAAAACCAAACAGATCAACTTGATTAATTTGTCATGTAAATTGAAATGCAATTGTATGTTATAGTTCAATGGCAATACTAAATTACGGATTGTTCTATTTACCAAACAGTTCCTTTATCTTCCCCCTGCTCTCCAAGTTTCTCCATTTTTATCTGATTGTCATGGAAAGGTATTGCCCAACTCTGTCTGAGTGGGCAGGTTACAGAAAGTTGCTAGTTATCAGAAGAGTGCAGACTCTGAACTAGCTTAGAAAGAAATTAACCGAGAGCCTTGTGGTATTTTAAAGACAGCTACACAGAAAACTAAGACATTCATGCAACACCATGTTTCTCACAGTCATGATCACAGCATTGAACTCGCAGTAACCAAGGTGCCTAAGTGGTTCATTCAAACAGACAAGGCCAGATGTAACAGAAATAAAGCTGATCAAATTAAGAGGCAACAAAAACTGCCATTAGTTTTCATCTGAGATCATAAACTGGGACCTTAAGATCCAAACCTGTTCTTCACATTTCATGTAGTAAACTTATCCTTCGTAGTTTCTGAACACAGGCAGAGCCAATCACATCTGACACATGAGGATACAGTAATCAGTTTTCCTCTTCTGATGAGGACAAGCAGATACATTTTCATGAAAGGAAGAATTAGGTGATCGTTGTTTCATAGCTACAGATTTTATTGTTTAGATCTAAATGGGTTTCTTCTGGTTAAAATATGCAAATTATAATTCTGATTTCTACTATTAAAACTGCATGAAAAGTGCATTTGTTCTATTAGATATACAACTATAAAACAAAATAGAGATTGAATTTAAAGACACTGATTTAGTCACTAGGACTTATAGGTAGCATTTCCAACGTGTCCTAGGTACCAAGCATTTTTTTCCCATGACTTTGGGGATCAGGACTCGGTCTCCCAATCCCAGCATTCACTGACAAGTTCACTAACCTTTGGATATAAAGGATGAGCAATTTAGTTCTGTAACTATATAAGACAGAGTAAATACAGAGAAGGGAACGACATTTCGTATCTCTGTCCCAGAATAACACACAAATTGTTTCCCATCAACAAATGAAGTGCCTTAGAAAATGGATTTCAAGTGGAGCAGGAGAGCAGAGTGGCAGATTAAGTAGGAACATGCTCCCCTCTAGACAGGATGGCTAGAAGTCAGCTGAGAAACCTCAAGTGTCAGACAGGATCAACCTTAGTGACTGGCTCTGGTGAAACCACACACCTCGTTTCTGCTACTTGCACACACGCCCACTTGAATTTGATCTTTATAGAAGAAGTCACAAACAACATCTCATGCCTAGTCATCAAAAAGAGAGTATCCTGCAAATGCTCCCTATTTGACTTTTAGTCACAACAGTTGTTTCTTCCTTTTGTTTTAAATGTATACACATTTACCTCTGCCTCACGCTAACCGTTCGCCCATGGGCCTGAAAGCAAATTTTGCCATAGGCTCATTTGTTGCAATTTCAGTAATGAAAATGTCTTTTCCACTTGACTTGCATCTCCAAAATTTGGAAGATCGTTTTAAGGCCTCATTTAAAACACAGTGCTTCAATGCTAATCACATAAATGTGCATTCTATTACATATGCTACATAAAATGCTATCACAATAGGCAATATGGACAACATTCCTTTTGGCTCAGTGATCAATATGAACACATGCTCTGTGTTTTCTGTACTTAATTTTCTACATTTTTCTGTCAGATATCTTTCTTTGTTAACATATAAATATGCAAGGTTGTTTTGGAAACATAACTACATTAAATGAAATCCAGAACAGGTCTACAGGAAATCTACATTAAGCCTAATGGGATTTCTGACCACTGTTTCTCTAGTGACTCTAATTCACAAGAATTGCAGCAGGATCCACAAGTAACATGGCAGACTTTCCATATCTGAGATGTGCCTGAGATGCTGCCAAAATGTCAGGGGGATGTGACAGAAGCAATCCATATCACTTGCTGTTTGGACCACTGGACTGGGAAAGCAGTCAGGGAGCACAACAGAACATAGTGCAGATAATTACTAAAAAATTCAGCAGCATCAGCAGTTTTTAGTTAGTCCTTGAATTAGGATGGATCCCACTGAGATGTGTAATGTAGTAGGTATCACTTTCAGCCTATCTGTTTGGGTTAAGAATTGTCCTATCATTTGAGCAACCTGGGTCTTAGGGTAAAAAAATCAGTACTTGAAAGGTGGATTAGGAAATACACCAAACTGCCATTTACTAAGGGCTGAAACAAGGAAGTTTCCTTGTAAGACAGGAAACTGGTTCTAATGACAACCTGAAAACCCCAGCCTACCAATTCTGAAGTTGCTCAAAAGAGTCATATTAAGATGAAATTCAGGAAAAAAAAAATCCATGGAGCAACAATTTTGAAATTCTCTATTTAAAAAAGCAACAACCTTTCCTCACACACAAGCAACAATGTCCTGCTTCAAAAGAGAAACAACTCAGAACTTACAAGTCATTAAACTTCTCCAGTGTTACATCTGGTGTGAACACATCCAGTATTCCAATGACCTAAAAAAACAGAAAAAAAAAAATCAATAACTGATTAAACATAATAAATCCTGAATCATCTAATAAGTGAAAAAATATAATCAAAAACATTTCCACAGTGAGACATCAGCTACAGGGGTAAACATGGCAGAAAGAATACCTAAAGTAGTGCCTAACAACATCAGGACTTGTTATGTGTTAAATTTTATAACTCTGTGGGCTGCTTGACCCAGTGATACAAAAATTAAAAAGTTCAGAGGCTAAGAGTATTATGTAAGGGGAGACAGCATTCTTAGCACTTTAACTATTGAAGTATTTAAAATAAACCAGACAAATCAGTCCTTAACATGAAGCTCTCATAAGTTCTCTTCACCTACCTGGGCCTGCTGCTTATCAATGAAGAACACTTTAAATGTCTTCTAATTTCGGTACCAGGGTAACTTAGTACATAGACTACAACATCTAACTAAGAGTATGAAGAAAAAACTAGAACTAAACTGCTTTTATAGGGGATAAAAATTAGCAAGAACTTTGTATGATTTACTATGGCTTATAGCTTAGGTTCTCCTTAAGAGCTTTTTTTTTGTCATACAAAAGCATTCCATCACTCAACAGAGAAATAACAATCTTGTAAAACAGATTTTCCACCACAGCTTTTCCCATTAGTATGATTTTCAGACAAACTATACAAAATGACTAAGTGCATTGTGCTGACTGCCAATGCTTCTTTCAAACCCATTAAATACTAGAAAATCAAATATACAGAACTTAATGCTCCAAAAGAAGTAGTTGGAATTGTTTAAAGCCAGACTTCAGTTTTAGATGCAGCTTAATCCAGGCAGTACCTAAATAGCACAGACTTTTAGAGCTGCTTCTTTTCTACCTCTGCTCCTAATTCATGACCATTTTTGTCTGCTCAGAGGGAGCCTCCCAAGCCCCAGAGTGCTCATGGTGTTTCCTAGGTGCAGGCTGCTGTGTCGATGGGGTTGTGCAGGGGTTTGCTAGAAAGCAAGCTAAGAGATGAACAACCTTTATAATTTTGCTCAGCCCTTTCTCCATGGCCATACAGACATCAGATTATACATCAAGAACTATTGTCTGAAACAGATATCTTTATAAAAAAGAATGTGTAAGAGAAGCATTAGCAGAAATGAAGGGAAGAAATTCAAAGCTTTTATTATATTTCATTAAAGCAAACTTTAAATAAAGATCCAAACTGTGATGAAATTCTTACTGAGCATATTTTTACTCTTTCCACATTCAGGATGAACTACTACAGTTAACCTGGATATTATCAAAATGTCATGATGATGAACAACACAGAAAAACTAATAAAGATGAAGGCAGAAAAATACAACTCCCTTTCTTTGTAATCACATATATCCTTAGAAAAAAGGTCACTAATAATGTTTTCATGAGGGTTGTTATATGAAACCAATTAAAGAAGAATAACTACCATAAAACAATAATTAAACCCACAGAGGATGTGGTTATTATTTGAAGTAGTACCTTTAGTGCTAATGTTACAATAAGGGGTTTTTTGTTTGTTTGTTTGTTTTAATGACAGTTTTACATAAGGTTTTCCATTTCTCTGTGGAGGCAGAGAGAAAAAAGAGGGGGGCTGGATTACAAAGATGTGCATGACAATAGAGCAGAACGCAGATCTATGGGCATTTCCCGAGGCAGCATGCATATACACAGAGCACACACAGCCAGAAAAGTCGTGTTCTCGCCACAGATTTAGGTATTACAAAGAAGGAAGTTAACATTTTAGCAGTAATCTTATCCAATATGTATCTTTCCTTATCAAGCCCCATTTTCTCAGAAGTCCTGCTTAAGCAAATATTTCTATGCCCTCATATACCTAAGCAAGAACTATAAGAAAATAAACCCCATCACATCTGAATGTAGCAGTGAAAGACACTGGGACACCACAATAAAAGAAGGGACACAGAAGAGGATAAAATAGTGAGGCTGCTGTATTACATCCATCTGTGCACCAAGGCACTACGAGGCTTCTTCTGTGAAACACAAGAGCATGAAGAACATGTTTCCATAAAGAACAAACCACCCCCAAAACACACTAATGAAGTTCACTAACATTTTACTGTGTATCTATTCAAGTAAACAGAGTTCTCAGTAGTTACTTAATGGTGCTTTTATTTCTCAGGTAAGGTTGCAAATTTATGGTTACAAACTTATCATTGCTGCAAATCCATTGCAGTGAAGGATGACACTGAGACCAATGCTCAGCTCCCACTGAAGGGAATTTTAAATAATGAACCAGAAAACGCTTTTACCATGACAAGGATTTCACAACACCTTTTCTTGCTTTACAAAGAAAGTTTTCTTAAAATCCTGAAATAGATTTTAGTATCCAAAATGGTAAGACATACTAATAATTAATCAATTCCAAAAGAAAAGCAAAGGACCCATTTCCTTTTCCTCAGTGATCTTTATTTAATAGTTGTGTTTTGGGATTATTTTCCTGTACTGGAACAGAGTAATTCGTATTTCCATTTAGGCCAGATATTTCTGGAGCTATATTAAGCACAGGGAGGTACAGGATAAAATAAATCCACCGAGGAAGATACAACTGCAGCTACTTCTTCAGGAAAAGGGAAAGAACTGGACAAAGAGTAGGCAGCTCCCTCCTTTATGATATCATGGAAAATCCTGTGTCTGTCTGAAATGTTCCCAGTGAAAGACAGTATTTTTAAAGAAACTTTATGATACTTAAAGATAATGTCCAAGCACAAAACTAAGCCACTATAAACAATTACAAGAATAATTTATCTTTAATGGTGTTACCTATATGAAATGTAACAGAGATGCCTGTGAAACCTTCTATTGATATATTTTTGATGTTAATCAGCACAATTACTGAGAGTATCAAAGACGGAAGCCCAGCTGAGGAATGAATCCATGAAAAGCATCTGTGGAAACCAGCAGCAGTGCTGCCTTTTCAGGGTCTTATTTTTACCAGCAGCAGTGCTGCCTTTTCAGGGTCTTATTTTACTTATTTTAACTCTGCCAAAAGACAATTTCTCAAATAAATAAGATCACAAAGAATGCATCTCATTTCCTACTGTATATTTGACTGAAAAATAACCTGGATTTCTTCAGCCTGCACTGAAGTATCTTACTCAATTTTGTCTGAAAAAGAGGGTATAATACTGTGTCTCTCCCACAGAATCACAGAATGGTTTGGATTGGAAGGGACTTAAAGCTCATCTAGTTTTAATCCCTGCCATGGGCAGGGACACCTTTCACTAGATCAGGTTGCTCAAAGCCCCATCCAACCTGGCCTTGATGCCAGAGATGAAGCATCTGCAACTTCTCTGGGCAGCCTGTTCAAGTGCCTCACCACTTGCACAGTAAAGAATTCCCTCTTAATGTCCAATATAAATCTATCCTCTTTCAATTTAAACAATTCTTTGTCCTGTCACTAAATGCACTTGTAAAAAGTCTCTCTTCAGCATCCTCCTTTAGGTACCAAGTTGCTGTAAGGTCTCCCCAGAGCCTCCTCTTCTCCAGGTTGAACAACTCCAACCTTCTCAGTCTTTCTTCATAGAAGAGATGATCCATCTTCCTGAAATGCAAAACCACAAAACTACCTATCTACTGGTCTAACTTGTTTCCCTCAGGTATGCTTTTAGTCAATATATTTGCTTTGAAGTCAGTGGAGGTGGGTGGCAGCATCTCCAGCCTTTCTTAACCCTTCTGTGCTTATGTATGTGTGCCCTGACCAACTCTAACTACTGTCAACAAACAAACAACAACACATAGGTAAGGTGGTTTCTACACTTTCCTTCTCAGCTGCCTACTTTTCCAAATACTATTTCAACAGCACAATGGCGAAGAGCTCCTCAACTCTGTCCCCCCCTGTATTTTCATGTATTGGATTACTTTGTATTCAAGGACTGACCCACCACATTTCTGCAAACAAAAGTTTCTGATGTAAGCAGTACTACATCAAGAAAAGACTCCCAGTATGGTATAAATGAATAAGTAATGTGGGTTATGTCTCTCATTGTAGGTTATGTCTCTCGTACAGTAATTGCTGCTTTCTCTTGCACATATTATGCATGAACACACAGTGAAGTTGAGTGGCTTTAGCATTCAGGCTATACATGCAAATACATATTTAAGAGAGAGCCTTGCTAGGGTACACTGTACTACGTATTATGCTGCATTAAATTTACTGCAGGATTAGCTTCATGTTCCTGCTCTGCTCTACATCATGGGCACCTACATCCTTTTACTACACTAAGAACTCTCAAACTTTTAAAAGTTTAACTATCCATGCTAACTTCCAATCCAAACCATTCTGTTATTCTGCGGGAGAGACGCAGTATTATACCCTCTTTTTCAGATAAAATCGAGTAAGATACTTCAGTGCAGGCTGAAGAAATACAGGTTATTTTTCAGTCACCTTTCTTCTTCACAAATTATTGATACATGACATGAGGGACACCTGCTGATGGACCAAGACCTCCTTTCCTTTTCTCTTGCCAGTCAGCACACCGGCAGTGTGTCACAAGCCGTACCCACCATCACAACACTCTTCTTTCAAAGGACTCATGTAATAGCAGGTAGATTCAAATCCTGCAGGCAGACTCATCTTTATCTCTAGACTGAGTGGTAAACCAAAGAGAAGGTTTGGGTTTCAGTGCTACTTTCCTTATTTTCATTTAATGAAATAAGCTAATCAGTCTTCTTTATTAGTAACCAAGGCTGGGGTGCAAATAAATGGCTCTCAGCTGAAGTCCAGCCCACGATAAACACCTATTCACTACGTTTGTGAAAACAAGCAGAAATGACAACAGATAACCCTATATTGATTTACTGGCTTTTGAGTACCAAAATAAAAGGACTCTGGTGCCCTATTATCTTCCTAGCTATGCTAAGCATTCAGTCTTCAGAAAAGCAGACAGGAGTGTTCTCCCTTACAAAATTTTGACAGCAATAAACTATTCAGTTATAACTGTATTTTTGCTTTCATGAGGACCCATAAAGAG